AACACGTAGCCTTAAGGACACAGATGTCCCCTGACTCAAGGTTTCCAGGTGGTTGCTCGAGCCGCCAGGCATAGATTACAGACCCAGATTAGCAAGGTTGGGCAAGGCAGCCACAGGGGGCATTTTCTGTCCACAGTTCCTCTAGACTGACCCCTGGCAGCTGTGCATGTCTTATGTCATTCCTCCCTGAGGAATCTTACCCGTCATTGACTAACCAGCCATCTTATGGGGCTAAGCAGCAATCCTAGGAATGATGTGTTTATCATGTGGCCTCCAGACCCCCACTGCTGTGGGGCTGGGCAGCTCTTGCTTGTTAGAGGCAAGGACCCTCAAAGACCCTCAACTCCCCTATGACTTGTTCTATGCACAGACTTCGCCCTGGAAAATTCCAGCTATAGCTCCGAGAAGAATGCATTCCATGACGTGCTGACCATGGGATGCTCCAGGGAGTGCTGACTGCAATTGTTCCCGACCACCTGCCAGGTTGGAGATGAGTAACCAGTCAAAAACAGGATACCGATAAGACGCTGATTGGGGCTGATTAACCCAGACCCAAGCCTCATCATTGCCCCACTCTATTTTTTTGTTCCTACTTGTTTCTGTATGCTTATAAAACCTACTAAGAATCTAAGTAAAGCAGACCTTGACAACCATTTGCTTGGTCTCGTTTCTTTCTCTCGCCCATCTCTTTCAGGCACAGTCCCCCTCGCCCCCGCGAGTAACAGAAGGTCCCGCAGGTCGGGACACTTGCTTACTTGCAGAAACTCAGGTCCTTTGTTATGCCACTAGGCAGCAACCGTGTTTGTCATAAGGACCCTGTCCAGAACACATTACTTTTAAACACTCTGGGAAGAGCACGTACATTACTCACTAAATTTAATTCTTAAACCAGAAAAGTTTAATGTCATTCCCCAACACCTTTACACCCTCAAAGTTTCCATCTGGTCTCCGGGCTTCCCCATCCAGCCTGGACCCACTTGTCCTGCATCACTGGCCAGCTGTGTCCTCTCTGCTGCAGCCTCAGCTCTTTGTCCTACTGGCCAAGCAGGACCTGGGTTTTGCCGCACAGGTAACCGTGCAACCCCGTGGATGACCCAGCACTGTGATCCAGTGGCCTTGCTTCACGTCTGCCCTCGTCTCCCATAGAAGGTGGAAGGTTTCCTTCTCCAGGTTTAAGAAAACTCCTGCCCACATTCCTGTATTCACACCGGGGGACCCTATTAGGCACATCCTTCCTTACTCAGAGACACCCCCTGCCCCACTCAGAGGTCCCTAGGAACCCACCTCAGCATCTCCCCTCCCAACCCCACCAGCCTAACAGTCATCAGTCCACCCTAACCCTTTGTTCAGGGGCTCATGTTTGCCCCCCTACGCTGTGCCCCAGAGCCCCAGACATTGTGATGGTGTCTCAGGCTGGCTACCTTTGTCCTCACATGGGACCCTCCCTTCCACCTTCCAACAGCACATTAGCCACCAGATCCAGAGAGAACCACATAGCAGAGGCTGCCCAAATTACAGTCCCAGTCACTTATTCAGCCACAAACACAGAGCAAAATGTATCCCTCCACCTCAGATGCCTCGCCCTTGACTTCCTAGGAGATATTATGCACTTAGCATCCCATTTGAATAAGGCTTTCCTAGATGTGTATGCCATTCCTGGAATCTTAGTATTAAAAACATCCCTGAGATACTTTAGTCTAATCCTATCTTTTTTACAGGGTGGTAAACTAAAGTGCAAGTGATTTGCCTGAAGCTATTCAGCTTATTACCAAAATGACAAGGGCTGCTACACCCTGAACACCAATGTGCCTCCCTTGTTCTCCCCAAGGTACCACACAGAGAATTTGCAAAACATGGCCACACATTCTTGGCTCTTCTTCCTGCTAAGAGGTGGGGACTATCTCCCACTCCCTTTAGAGTAGGGTGGTCTTGTGGCTCTTCTGACCAGGAGAGTATGGTAGAAATGATGCTATATTCCAATGTCAGGTCATAAATGGCTGTGCAGTGTCCCTTTTGCTAGCTGAACCCTCACTCTTAGATCCCTGAGCCACCATATAAGAAGTCCAGCTACCCTGAAGCTGTGGAGGCCAAGTGTACCCACTCCAGGCTTTAGGCCCAGCCAAGCCCAAGTGGCTCACCGTCCACGCCCACACTGGGCATCAGACATATGAGTCCTGGACCATCTAGACCAGCTCAGTCACCCACTGAATAACACCAAGTGACCTCAAGCAATTCCACAAGAAGCAGAAGAATTTCCTAGCTGAGCCCTTCCCAAATTCCTGACCCAAAAAGTCATGGGCTATAAAAACAAATGGTCAATGATTTAAGCCACTAGGTTTTGGAGTAGTATAGATTGTTGTGTAGCAATAAATAACTAAAACACGGCATAACCTGCTACATTAGTTTGCTAGAGCTGTCATAACAAAGTACCACAAGTACTAGTGGGTGGCTTAACCACTTTGGTCCGGCGCTCAGTGGCTGCAAAACCTCGCCCACAGCCAGCCCTCACAGTCCACACGGTGGTCTGTGCTGTGCATTGATGACGAGTCCGTTTTGCTCTTGTGTGACGAGGAAAGCTTGAAAGCACTGACAGCTTGTTTTACTTCACAGGCAGCTTTACTTGTAATGTAAATCAGAATGGGTAACATATACGTATATGTTTTCATTATGTTATTTTTAAATGTTCACAATTTTATTTTGATAAATGAAAAATTAGAAAAGTCATATCATGGCTGTCGGCTAAAGTTGATGCTTGGCTGTGCGCCTTCATGTCCCAGCTGTTGGTTAAAGTCACTGTGCACATTCATCTGTGGCTGTTGACTATAGCCAATGCCGATGCCGGTACTGAAGTGGTTAAACAACAGAGATTCATTTTCTCACAGTCTGGAGGCTGGAAGTCTGAGATTAAGGTGTCCACAGGGTTGGTTCCTTCTGGGTCTCTCTTTGGCGTGTAGATGGCTGCCTATTCCCTGTGTCTTCACATGGCCTTTCATCTGTGTGTGTCTGTATCCACATCTCCTCTTCTCATAATGATACCAGTCATATTGATATAAAGATCCAATTTTCACTTGATTACCTCTGTAAAGATCCTGTCTCCAAATAAGGTCACAGTCTGAGGTACTGGGGCTTAAGACTTCAACACAGGAATTGCCAGGGGTGGGATGCAATTCAACTCTTAATACCTCCTTTTAAAAGGAACAATGGCCTATCTGTAATCCCCATTCCCAAATATTCAGTTATCCCTGCTCTAATAGGAATACCAACTCACCACATATTCTTGCTTAGTCCATTCCGTGATAATATGTACTGAACTCAAGCTGAAAAGCTACACAGGGACAAGAATGAAAATCAGTTATGTGGACTCTTCCCTTAGGTACCATGGAAATACTAGTGCCCAGCTTCTGTGCTGGTGAGAATAAGAGAAGCCCCAGGGGTGTGATGACAACTGGCCCAGAAGGCTGGACCCCAGAGCCACTTCTGCAGGATACTGGGAGGAGGGTGGAGCTTGTCAGGGGGGTCAGGGGTTAGGCAGCAACAGAAATGTCTATGCTGTGAGGCTGGCTCCAGCCATCGGGCTGTTAGCTTAGCCATGAGTCCCACCTGCTGCAGACAGGGACACACAGGATACTCAGTGTTCCATTAAGGAGCCCGTATTTCATTCCAAAGCTCTGCAAGCTCTTGTCCTTGAATGACGTGTGGGATGCAGTGCAGCCAGCTGGGTGGCAGCAGATGGGCGTGCTGACCTTCCCTCTGCTGAGCCTGCATTCACACCCAGCCCCGCCCCCAGCCCCACAGCAAAGTGGGCTTGGCAAGCAGAGCCTGCATCTGGTTTATGTAGAGCAAGAAAGCCACCTACAAACAGCTGTCTTGACCCAGGCTGTGGGACATGGCCCAGGCCCAGATTGCCGGGATGTCCAGGACTAGCCACGAGGGACTCTGCCACAGCCTGCGGAGAGAGCACCTTTCCTTTCCTTGCCAGTGTTCATGGCAACAGAACCAAATCCCTCTGCTTTTGCAAAAGTTCTGCTTCCTCTGTCAGGCTGCCTCACAGCATCCCACTACTTATCGGTGTGCTTGTTTCCAATAACCGTGCTTCCCCAGGTGGCCCCTTGGCCTCTGGAACTCAAAGTCTGCCATGCTTTCACCCTGCTATCAAACTCTTCAAGAAGAAAGGCACTGGCTGGCTCTGACCTCAGCTTGGTCTTCTGTGCCCCGGCCCGGCTCCTCCTGTCAGATGGCCAGTCCCACTTGGGGCCCAGAGACACCGTCACGGTTTGGGATGCTCCTTACTCTCTGTCCATACCACCTTCTCGTTCAAGTGGGCAACATGTCAGTCCCCATTCTTCCAAGGCCCTTGTCACTGCAGCGACTTGTCAGGCACAGAGCAAGCACACTTCAGTGTGACTGGGGGAGTTTGGGTCATGAACTGTGCCTCAGGACAGGAAAGGGCCTGGGACACTGGCAACGGACAAACACATCTAACTCCTTCAATTTTATTGAGTGCTTTTAAACATTTCTTCAAATTTGAGCAGTCTAATACTATTAACTAAAGTACAGACCCGCACTATGATGTGGAATCCTACATCACACGAATGAAGTAAGAAAGGAACCTGTGCATTTGGGGACAACGAAGGTGCCGAGCGCCAGGGCCAGCTATGCGCCAGGACAGGGTGACGGATGTGGCATTGAGGGGTCAGCACATCCACGCCAGGACGATGAGCCCCAGGGAGGACAGCACCTGACCTGTAAGCCACCACACGTGCTTTTCCTTACGTGCTCTCCACCGCCGAGCTCCCAATTTTCCACTTAGCACACAGTGTCCGTGGTGCAGGCTTTTCAGGGTGCACAGGGTGGCCTACTCCCGTCCAGTCACCAAAAGTATGTCGTTTATTTTTCAGTGAGATTTACAAAAGAGACTCCTCAACACAGCCGTTGTGCGCAGCGTGGCGCCTCCCGGTGCACAGGCAGGACGCAGCAGGACGCGCCCGCGAGGGGGCGTCAGTGAGGCCGGCGTCGGAAACGGCCAGCTGCACTTCCGTGGAAGCGTGTTACGGAGAAGCCGGTGGAGCCGACAGTTGACGTCTGAACCCTGCAAGGATTCGTTTATTTCTGCTAGCTAAGCACAGTCTCTTCAGAGCACAAGTGTGTAGCGTTTGTCAAAAACAGTATCAGCGAAACTAGACGGTCAGAAACGGGGAATGAGGGCCCTAACTTCATTGCCCCCCGCAGACATCCAGCCTGGCCGGGTAGGCGGCGGGCGCGGGCTCGGCGTGGGGCGGGCCGCGGGCCGGCGAGCGCGGGGGCGGCGCGGGCTGTGGCGCGGCGGGCGGCTGGACGCGGCGCGGGCTGTGGCGCGGCCGGGCCGGGGCCGGCGGGCGCGCTGGGGGCCGGGCCGGGCTGGCGCGGCGCGGGTGGGCCGGGGCTGGGCGCGGCGCGGGGATGAGGGCGCGGTTGGACGGGAGCGGGCGCGGGCCGGGGGCGACGCGGGGGCGCGGGCTGTGGACGCGGGGGGTGCGCGGAGCGCGGGGGGGCGCGGCTGTGACGCGGGCGCGAGCCGGGGGCGCGGGCTGTGGACCGGGGCGCGGGCCGGAGCCGCGGGGCGGGCTGGGACGCGGGGGCCGCGGCGCGGGAGCCGCGGGCGCGGGCTGTGGACGCGGGGGCGCGGGCCGACCGCGGCCGCGGGGCTGTGGACGCGGGGCCGCGGAGCCGCGGAAGCGCGGAACCGCGGAAGCGCGGGCGCGGGGCCGTGCGGCGCGGAGACACGCAGCGGCGGCGCGTAGACCCGGGCGCGGGCGTGGCCGCGGGCGGGACGCCGCGCATCGCCCCTCGCCGTCCTTTGGCGCAGGCTAAGGAGGAACGAGGAGACGGTACCCGGACAGAGCAGCTGCTTCGCAGTGGACCCGCTCAGGAGGGCGGCTTTGCGGGCGGGGGAGGGCTCCATCCCCTGCATCTGCTCCAGTCCCTCTCCTGCCAAAATCACGGTTTGTCTTTCTTAGGACCAGGATCTTGGTCTGCAGGTGCCCTCTGTTTTAATGTGAATGTCTCCCTCAGCCCTAGCAGCTGAAATCACGTTTAGTGGGACGGGACTCGAGCACCTGCGACGCCTGCCCTCTGCACCCCGTGCCCAGCCCGTGAGCAGGTCCTGTCAGCTTGAAAACGGACCCTAAGGCCACCGCCCTCGCGGTTGCGCTGCTGCCTCCTCTCCTCCCCCTGAACAGCTACGGAGCTTTCTAATTGGGCAGCCTGGGGCCTTCCTTGCCCCCCCCTTTCTTTTCTAATAATGTATTTTATTTAACCCAATATATCCAAATTATCATTTCATCATATAATTATTTTTTCCTTACTAAGTCTTTGAAATCTGATATATAATTTATGCTTGCAGCACACCTGATCCTAGACTAGGGTTTTTCTTTTTAATTTTTTATTTTTTAGCGTATTATGGGGGTTTTAAGGTTACTTATATTGCCCATGCCCCCCTCCCCCCTCGAGTAAGAGCTTCAGCATGTCCATCCCCCACATCCTCGTTGTGGTTGTATATACCCATCTCCTCCTCCCCCCCTTGCCCCTTTTCAGTCTAATCTCCGTAGAGCAGCCCTGGTGATCCCCTTAAAATGTGTGTCAAATCATGTCAGCCCACTACCCAGAACTCCGCGATAGCTTCTCGTCTTATACATAGCAAAAGCCAAGCCATCTTACGGTGGGCGGCAAGGCCCTGTGTAACCTGATCCTGTTTCTCTGACCGCTCTCTTACTGTTGCTCTTCTTGAGCAGTTCACCCCAGCCATTCTGTCCTTCTTAGTATTCCTTGAATTTCCAGGCATGGTTCTACCACAGGGTCTTTGCACATGCTGCTCCCACTGCCTGTAAGGCTCTTCCCCAACATATTTTTGTGGCTCATTTCTCATCTCTTTGTGATCCTTACTCACATGCACGCCCACAAATCCCCCATTCCCATTTCCTGGCTTTATTTTCTTCTTAGCGCCTATCACCATATAAGAAGTGATATATTTCCCTTATTTACCTTGTTTGATGTCTGTCTCCCTCAACCAGAATGTAAGGACCGTGAGATCAGGGATCGGTTTGTTAATTTTGTTCAATGATGTATCCCCAGAGCTTAGAGCAGTGCTTGGGATATGGGTAGTGCTCAGTGGTTCATTTGCTGATGAAATAAATGAATATTTAATGCATAGCACCGCTCAGGTGAGATAAAAGAGCACCAGAAAGCAGGCCAGAGATGCTGAGAACATGTTGGCTCTGCAGGGGAAGATGTTTCTTAACCTGTTGGTTCAGAGTGGGCAAAGCGTCGCTTAGCATGTTGTTTCTCATCCAGCAAGTTTCCCATATGAGAGTCATGGGATAATTTCAGTGGACCATGGCCATCAGTATAAATAATATTTTAAAAGAAATAGCCAGGCATGATGCTGCACACCTGTAGTCTGTGCTACTCGGGAGACTGAGGCAGGAGGATGGCTTGAGCCCAGGAGTTCTGGGCTATAGTGCGCTATGCCATTTGGGTGTCCACACTAAATTTGGCATCAGTATAGTGACCCACCAGGAGCAGGGGATGACCAGGTTGCCAGAGGAGGGGTGGACCAGCCCGGCTCAGAAACAGAGCAGGTCCAAACTCCTGTGCTGACCAGCAGTGGGACACAGCCTGTGACTAGCCACTATACTCCAGCCTGGGCAACACAGTAAAATCCTGACTCAAAAGAATTAAATACAAAAAATTTAAAAATAAAATAAAATAATTAAAAATACAAATTTTAAAGAAATAGAATTTTTTAAACTGGAGGAAATTATATATAGTAAGAATATGTATTATTTTTTTTTATGGTTTGCCTTTTTTTTTTATTTCGGCATATTATGGGGGTACAGATTTTAAGGTTTCAATAAATGCCCATTCCTCCCCCTCCCCCCAAAAGTCTGAGTCTCCATCATGACCATCCCCCAGATGGTGCACATCTCACTCATTATGTATGTATATACCCGGCCCCCTCCCCCCTCCCACATGCCCAATACCCTATTACTGTAGTACCTATGTGTCCACTTAGGTGCTACTCAGTTAATACCAGTTTGCTGGAGAATATATCTGGTGCTTGTTTTTCCATTCTTGGGATACTTCACTTAGTAGTATGGGTTCCAGCTCTAACCAGGAAAATATAAGATGTGCTATATCACCATTGTTTCTTAGAGCTGAATAGTACTCCATGGTATACATATACCACATTTTATTAATCCATTCTTGGATTGATGGGCACTTGGGCTGTTTCCACAGCCTTGCAATTATGAATTGTGCTGCTATAAACATTCGAGTGCAGGTGTCCTTTTTGTAGAGTGTCATTGGATCATCTGGGTAGATGCCCAGCAATGGGATTGCTGGATCAAATGGTAGATTCACTTGTATCGCTTTAAGGTATCTCCATATTGCTTTCCACAGAGGTTGAACTAGTTTGCAGTCCCACCAGCAGTGTAGGAGTGTTGCTCTCTCTCCGCCAGCATTTATTGTTTGGAGATTTTTTGATAAAGGCCATTCTCACTGGGGTTAAGTGATATCTCATTGTGGTTTTGATTTGCATTTCCCTGATGATTAGAGATGTTGAGCATTTCTTCATAAGTTTGTTAAAACACACAGCTCCCTAGGCTCAACCAGGAAGAAATAGATTCCCTGAACAGACCAATCTCAACAGCTGAAATAGAAACAGCAATTAAAAATCTCCCTAAAAAGAAAAGTCCCGGTCCAGATGGCTTCACACCTGAATTTTACCACACTTACAAAAAAGAACTAGTACCTATCTTGCAGAAACTATTCCACAACATCGAGAAGAACGGAAACCTCCCCGACACCTTTTATGAAGCGAATATTACTCTGATACCAAAACCAGGAAAGGATGCAACAAAAAAAGAAAACTACAGACCAATATCCCTAATGAATATAGATGCAAAAATTTTCAACAAAATCTTAGCTAACCGAATCCAGACACTTATCAAAAAAATAATCCACCACGACCAAGTGGGCTTCATCCCAGGGATGCAGGGATGGTTCAACATACGTAAATCTATAAATGCAATTCACCACATAAACAGAAGCAAAAACAAAGACCACATGATTCTTTCAATAGATGCAGAAAAAGCTTTTGACAAAATTCAACACCCTTTCATGATAAGAATATGTATTATTTCATGAAATCTCTGTTTCTGAGCCAAACACACACACATACATGCTAGACTGTTGCAATGTAAAATGTTTTGCTTATTGTAGTTCTCAGTCAAAAAAGCTTGGAAAATCTATTATAGATAACACTCCCTGGAGTATCTTAATCTCAATTTAACAGTCCTACAGAGAAGATCTCCCACAGCCTCGTGGGCATTCCCAGCACGTGCATGTTGGTGTGCGTGTCCAGCGTTCCTCTGGGCCTCTCTGTTCAGTTTTCTTTATTCTTTTTTCTTTTTTTTTTTTTTTTGAGACAGAGTCTCCCTTTGTTGTCCAGGCTAGAGTGAGTGCCATGGCGTCAGCCTAGCTCACAGCAACCTCAAACTCCTGAGCTCGAGCGATCCTTCTGCCTCAGCCTCCCGAGTAGCTGGGACTACAGGCATGCGCCACCATGCCCGGCTAATTTTTTATATATATATCAATTGGCCAATTAATTTCTTTCTATTTATAGTAGAGACGGGGTCTCGCTCTTGCTCAGGCTGGTTTTGAACTCCTGACCTTGAGCAATCCGCCCGCCTCGGCCTCCCAAGAGCTAGGATTACAGGCGTGAGCCACAGCGCCCGGCCTTTTATTCTTTTTTCTTTGTGTTCTTCAGGTGGCATAATCTTTCCCTGCCTACCTTCAAAGTTTGCTGATTCTTTCTTCTACCAACCCAAATCTACTGTTAAGACTAGAGAGTGAATGTTTTTTGTTTTTTTGTCTTTATGCTTTTCAACTTCAGAATTCCCATTTGGTTCCTTTTTTATGTTTTCTATTTATTTAGTGATATTCTCTGTGTATGAGTCGTTGTTATCATACTCTCTTTTAATTCTTTACACATGGTTTCCTTTGAACACATTTATATTTCCTGCTTTGAAATATTTATCTGCTTAGTCTGACACCTGGACGCCCTCAAAGGCAGATCCTATTGCTTGTTCTTTTCCAGTGTATTGGCCATACTTTTCTGTTTCTTTGTATGCCTCATAGTTTTGTGTTGAAAACTGGACATGTTAGATAGTGTGTTGTAGTAACTCTAGATACTGAGGTCCCACTGATG